GATTCGAGGTGTAGCCTCACCAGTGCCCAGGTCCTGCTCCTGTGGCCACACTGTTCCTGATCCAAGCCTCAGTCCATCGATCCAGCCTGTCCAGACCCCTCTGCGGAGCCTTCCTGCCCTCTAGCAGATCCACACTCCCACCCAGCTCTGTGTTGTCTGCAAACTGACTGAGTGTGCCCTCGATCCCCTCACCCAGATCATCAACAAAGACATTGAACCTGACCGGCCCCAAAATTGATCCTGGGGGACAGACACCACTCGTGACAGACACCAGCTGGGTGTGACACCATTCCCCACCACCCTCTGGGCTTGGACGTGCAGGCAATTCTTAACCCAGGGAAGATGCACCTGTCCAAGCCCAGGGCTGCAGCTTTTCCAGGAGATGCTGTGGGAGATGGTGCCAAAGGCTTTGCAGAAGTCCAGGGACACACATCCACAGGGAGTCCCTGCTCATAAAGGAGACCAGGTTGGTCAGGCAGGACCTGCCTTTCTTAAACCCGTGCTAATTCCTTGCTTATCCTGTTTGTGCCATGTGATCACACCCAGAATGATCTGTTCCATGATTTTCCCAGCCACCAGGGATTAACATCAGGCATAACAGCAGTTAGACATTTGTCCTCAATTTAGGTAAAATGCTGCATTGTTGAGCGTGTTTTGCAAGAGCTCCTCCATAATAATGAGGAAAAATAGTGCAAATACATTGTAAAGGTAAACTGCCAAGCTTTGTGGAATGAGCAAACAAAACCTGACTGGTGCTTTCATAGATCTTTGCAATGCACCCATTACCTCTCCAAAAACAGTCACTGAAATCTCTCAATAAAATTGTCATTTTTACTTTGTTCTTCCTGGGTTTTGTCTTTGAAACTTGTGACTTGGCCTCCTTTATGAATTAAATATATTTCGTGTATAAATCTGGTAATTTTTTTTTTATATTGAAAAAGAGCAAAGGTTGCTGTTATTCTTCTCGTTTCCAGCAGCGTCCTCATGTGTGCCTATGAACTTTATCAGTGTTTGTGTTCACATCACTGCACGAATGAAGTGTCAGAGTAATTTCAGTGTTATTTTAGTGTGAGTTTGCACTACTACTCGTGGTGGAGTGAGAGATTTCTCATGGGGACTTAGGGAAATTTATAATATCTAAAGATTCATTACATTAATTTCTCAATCTTATTCCTTTGAGGAAACCACAGCAAGTTCCTCATTATATTTTCCCTGGAGTCACACAAATGTTTCTGCAATGTTTGTCTGGGCTTTTTATTTTTAAAGCTGGGAGATTGCAGGAATAATCACGTGGACAAATACAAATAGGAAGTAGCTAGGGAGAAAAAGTTCTGTCTTTATGGTGGATTACCAACAGAACCTAAGTGAATAAAGTCTTCTCTTATGAAGAAAAAAAGATATCAAAGTTCCTTCTGGCGTGAATAACCAGAAGTAAAGAGTCAGGAATGTCTGTGTTGGACCAGTGTGTTCATTCTACAGAATTTTTCAGAATTTGGATGCAGACCAATTGGGCAGAATTCACAGGAGTGGCAGAACTTGCAAAACAGGACTTGAAGAGGACAAGTGAAAAATTTGGCCTTATTCTAGAGAGAGGGTAGGGCAGAAATCTTAATGTATATAAAAGGCAGTTCCAAGAAGGAAAGGAAAGAAGTATCTTATGAATGTAAACTGTTATAAGGAAGATTCAGACTAGATAATACAAGATATTTTCTAGAGGGCTGGCAAAGTAAACATACTGCATATTTTTGGATATTGGTCCCATTGAACTCAGTTTTCAGGACTATAAAACGAATAATTTTCTTTTTTCCATTTAAAAGACCCTTGTTTTCAAGGATGGTTCTTTGCAGATCAGGAAGTGACTCACACCTCTCAAACAGCCTGTTCCACTACTGGAGTGTGATACTTCCTCGTTTAGCATCATGAATTAGGTGCTGTATTTCATCAGGAAAGCCTGTTAGCACTTCTGGTGTTGAGGAAAAGCAGATAATCAATATGAGGAGGAAGCTTTTCACAACAAGGCTGGTAAAACACTGGCACAGGTTATCCAGGGATGTGGTGGCTGCTCCATCCCTGGAAATACCCAAGGTCAGGCTGGACAGGGCTCTGAGCAACCTAATGCAGTTGAAGATTTCCCTGCTCATTGAAGGGAGGTCAAATCAGATTAACTTTGAGAGTCCCTTCCAACCCACATTATTCTGTGATTCTTTGAATGCAGTCAGAGCTCATTGTGTCAAAGGGATTTCTGCTCTTTTTACCAGTATGTTGTAAAGGTGGGTGCAGAGAATTCCCTATTTGATCAGCGTTTAAAACCATTCCTGGAGTGTCTGCATGTCTCAAAAAATCAATAGTAACTGCAAAACACCTCTGTAGTACCTGGTACTTACTTTTCAGAGTCAAAATCTTACTAGGGTTGAGTTAAACTCTGTTTCTTTGAGATATTATGGATGTGGATTGAAGGGAGTGTTGGGGGAATTTTCTGCCTGAAGATCAAGTTTTAGAAACAAAAGGAGTTGTCCTAGATAGGAATGCCACAAATACTCTATTGCCACCTCTCTGAAGGCTGAGGTTAGCACAGTGACTCAGACAAAAACCAGCCAGTTTGGGTAGCAATGCCAGAAAAAAATGATAAGATTTTTTGTGTTGCTATGAAAACATTTTTATGTCTTTGTGGGGTGGTTTTTTTTATCATTTTTAAAAATTATTTTCCCCGTTCACAGTTGTTCTGAGATTATTTGCATTCCTGGTGATATCCTTGGCTGCTTGGTATTTGGGATACTTTGCTGCTGTTAATGTACCCCAAAATGCAATATCCATTGAAGCACTTCAAGAGATTGGAAAGAAACCAGTATTGAGGGGTGTGTATTTATTTCATTTTTTTTCTTTCTTGTACCGTATCTGATATTGTGTATTTATGTGCTGAATGACAAATGGCTTGTTAGCTAAGAAATTATTTGGTATGTGCTATTATGAGAATGAAGGTGACTGTAAAGTTAATTAAAGCAAAGTTGAACTTTTTTTTAGACACTGTTTTTGAAGAAACACAATGTCAGCCTATTTTTGCAAGCATACGAAGGTAATTAATTGAACACTGATGTAAGAACACCTTCTTTGTTTGCTGCCATAAAAATGCCAAGCTGCAGCTTTGGTTCTATTACATGTATTTTATATTTATGATAAACAGCTGAATCACTAACTAAACTTTGTGAGTAAATTCTCGTTATTTTTGGCTCTACTCTGACCAGGTGGTTTAACGTGTATATTTTTGTCAATCTGTGACTAAGTTATTGTGTAAAAAAAGGGCTTAAAATAAGAATGATAGTTATTCACTTCAAGCTGTTGGTAGGAAACCTTCATCCTTGTAGCCTTTTTTTCCTGTTGTGTGGAATAGGAGATAATAATTACCTTCTTTTCAATTATACCTATTTGGAAATCAGTGATAACTTCCAGCCCAAACAAACCAGTGATGAAGTTGCCACGATCCCAGAGAACTGCCAAGTTCCTGTGTTCAGATGTCTTGAGTTTAGCACTTTGATTTTAGGGGATTCATCCCACGTAGAAATGGTTCATGCAGCATCCAATAAAAAGTTTTTTTCATCTTTCTGTTGCAGCCCCAGCCCCCAAAAGGCAGAAGTGTGACCACTGGTCTCCCTGCTCACCAGGGAGCTTCGCCTATCGCATCCTCAGTGGTGGTGGCAAAGAGAGGAAAGCTAAAATTTGTTTTGAGGATGAGCAGTGAGTACCAGTCTAACTTTACACCTTAGCAAGTGCTTTGTACTGTGAGCAAATGTGCTGGGGTTTGGTTCAGTAGCAGCAATGAGCTCCTACCAGGGGCTCCTATTCTGGTGGAGAACTTCAGCATTTATCTAACAGTATTTAGCTCTTCCCCTTCTTCTCCTCCTCCTCCTCCTCCTCCTCCTCCTTCTTCTTCTTCTTCTTCTTCTTCTTCTTCTTCTTCTTCTTCTTCTCCTCCTCCTCCTCCTGCTCCTTCTTCTTCTTCTCACCTAATCTCCAGACGACTGTTAGTTTTCAGTAGAATTTTTAATTTTTATGTTGCAGGATAGCAGATTTACAGAATGTTGACTTCTCAGCACCTTCTGAAAGTCAGGTTCTTTCATGGCTTTTCAAACTGGACAGGTGAAAAATTTCAGAACCTTGCAGTGACCTTTCCTGGAGACACAATCCACAGAGAGTACAGCCATAAAACTATTTATTCTTGTTTAGTTGTTTTTTGTTTTGTTTTTTTTCTCCTTATCTTTCTGGCTGCACTTGTATGAAATATTTTCTTGATCTGGCTCATTTTGAAAGAGTCATTGTTGAAGGAAACTGACTGATACACTGTGCAAGATTTTTGAGCTCTTGTTTACAATAGAGTTTTGAATTAAATAACTGAAGAAAACATAAATATCAGAAAATTACTTAGCACTGGTGAACATAACTTTGCAACAGAGCTGCTGGACAGATGAATTTTACTGATATTGTATTTATTTCAATTCCAGGCTTATAACTGAATGGAATGATGACACTGAAAGTGGTATAAACGTTGCCATTGTGAATTGTAAGTAAGAGAAAAAATGTTAGAGAGAGATATATTTTTGTACTGCAATAAATTACTAGTGTTCTTGGGAGGCTTGGTTTTTGTTTTTTGTGGGGTTTTCTACCAGCCAGTATGGAAGGGAAAGGAAAATATTCCAAATTTGATTCACATTAATGTAGGAAAAACAAATCTGTGCGGTAACAGTCTTCTGGGTAAACAAGAGAAACATGTTCATAATCATTATAGGAAAACAGAATAGAAAATGTGCACATAGATGTGGTATAAGTGTATTTTTTTTAGACAAAAGACTTGTAGCACAGTAAGAATATCTGTGATCTCCAGCAGTAGGACTCAACTTTCAGCTACAGTCTTTGATAAAATATATCTGCTGCTCCACTGATGAGGGAGAAGCAGGAACTGAGAGTTGCAGTTCTGCTTCAAGGTGTAGCCATGGTAAAAATTCATTTTCCAGACTTGTTCAGGCTACAGAAAGACAAACTCAAATTTTAATTAATATTAAACTGCCATTTGCTTGTAGTAAAAGCCACTGGAAGCAGCAGGTGTGCTTTATTCTGGGTTTAGAGGCACCTAAATCCTAAATTTTGATTTAGATGAATGGGAATGGTGATTAAGTGTATTCAGTAATGGGTCCAGGGAAAAATGAATGCCTAAATCTTGTGGGGGAGGGGAAAAAAAGGGAGTTCACAGGCACAGTTAAGCTGGCTTTGATCACAAAACACTTCTATTCGAATTTTTTTTTGCTAAGCAAGATCTTGACTTTGTCTGAATTTGTATGATTTTGCTGAAGGTTAAATTAACCACGGACAAGAATCTGTTCCAAATTTTCCCCCAGTTAACTGCTGCCTTTTTTCCCAATAATCATAAAATCTTTACTGGGTATAAAATACAAAAATGAGTCAAAAATGAGAGTAAGAGGAGAAATACTCATCATGAATGCACAAGCAAGATGGTGGCAAATAGAAGCAGGTAAATCTGTCCATTATCCTGCACCATTTTTTAGCAAAACGTATTTTTTTACATGTCCACTAATTAGATCAGGCAAGATAATGACTGTTCTCAGTGTCTTATGGATGAAAGGTTGAACATCTCAAACACTGCACAGAATAGGATTAAGTTCATTCAAACAGGTTTAACCAATTTTCCTATCTATGGCTCTCACCTAGTATAGTATATTTAGATATAAAAATATGGAAGCATGCACCGAAAAAAGAATTTTTCTTTAAAATAAGAAGTAATAATTTTTTTTAGTCACATGGGATAATTCAGAGACTACATGAAATAAAATATTCTCCCCAAATCTTAAAACTTGCTATTTCATAGTTCTTCCAACTTAAGAATTGGAACAAAAGAAGCCAAATAATACACAAAATTAGGGATGTCTAGCTTTAGCTAAAAATTCTGTGTTTGCTGGTTGAATAAAATAGTATTTGCTCATATTTAGACCTCTTTTTTTAATTACAGATAAAACAGGAAAACTCAAGTCAACAAATTTTTTTGAAATGTGGGGAAAAGGTAAGGAAAAGAGTTCAATAGAGCTTTTGTTAGCATTTCAGCATTAAGAAAAGACAGATTCATGTAATTATCCTCTTCTTTCCTGTTTGACTTTGTATTCTCAACAGGGATCAGTAGAAACAAACAGCTGCTGTCTTCATAAAATATGTTCTGGCTAGATATGATGACAAATTTTGCCTGAAAAGCTGAATTTCTCCTGTTGGTTGAAATAGTTAATTATCTTTTCTTTTCAAGGATCTTGTTCTTCCCCTTTTTTTGTCTTGTCTTTTTCTTTGGTGTCCATTATTTCAGTCTGGTAGGAATGGCACTTAACTAGATGACATCCAGATACTTCAGTCAGCAAAATTCTTTTTCCCCATTATATCTTGTTGTATTTTAGTTATAATATCATCATAGTTATAAAATCATCATAGGAAGTTTGCTTATTTGTCTCTTTACATCCTTCCATGTAGCTGTAAAGATGATCTACTTTAAGAATAGCTTTTAACACATTTTCTAAATGTTGACTGGCCAAGTTTCCTTACCTGTTAGTGAGGAGAACCAGAATGTTCCAAGGCACTGGAAGCTGATTCCCTGACTCCTTAAAAATGCTCATGACCATGGCTGCATGAGTAGGAATGCGAGTGTGTGCCATGAATAACCAGCTGTGTGGTTGACTCCACAGACCAGTCAAATGAGATGATGAATTTCATCAGGAATGCACCAGAAGGGTCCCTCATTCTGATGGCCACCCACGATGATGGGAGCACCAGGTAGGAGCTTATGGAGCCCGAGGGGCAGAGCTGTGAAAAGCTGGAAAATTACTTCTTGTGCATTGGTGTAAAGGAATGATAAATCCCATTCTGCACTCAGAGTTGTTCTCTCAGTTCTTGTCTGAAAGTTTTAATTCCATGTCTTTTCCATGATTGCAGGTGTCTGTGTGTTGGTGCTCCCTAGGATGGGTAGATATTATATTCTTTAAAATCAATGACCTCTGGGTCACAGCCTACTTTACTCTGAAATGTTATTTATCCACACCTCCAATTATGATGTCTCTAGTTTGCATTCTTTCTAACATCATAATCTTATTTTTCAGGTGCCTTTGAATCTTTGGGGGAATTTTAGCTGAGCTCATGATATAGTAATTATCCAGGAAAATACTTAATTTGACACCATTGTCAAGAACCAGACAGTATTTGAGATACATTTTTCTTTCTGGTATGCTGCTATAAACAGGTTGTATTAACATCAGGAACTTACTGAGAAGGAAAAAAATTGATAAATTCAATTCTTTCTGTGAATTCAATGTCATGCTACTACTACAGCTCTCAGGACTATTTAAATCTCATTTTTGCTTCTGCAGGCTTAATGCTGAATGTAAAGCATGAATCAGCCATGATCTTTTTCATCAGTTTTCATACCCTGAATTTTTAACACTCATTTTTTCACTACGTTTTCCTAGGTTGAAAGACGACGCCAAAAATTTAATAGAAGAACTGGGAAGTAAAGAAATCAAGAATATAAAGTTCAGATCAAGCTGGGTTTTTATAGCTGCCAAAGGCTTCAAGCTGCCAGATAATATCCAAAAAGAAAAGGTCAGTTTTGTTTCATTTTCATTTTATATTTGTCTGTATATCAAAACCAATAACTTTGGGAATAACTTGCCCACAGGTTGCAGGAGGACTAAAGACCCTGCTTTTCACAGAGATTTCTGTTTGCATCTGTGCCCCTGTTGTGCTCAGTTTGTGTAAGCCCAGTTGTGCTCATCTGTGTGACTGAGGCAGACAGAAATGAAAACCCAGCACAGCGTTCAGGTCCCTTGATGATGCTGATTCCCTCCAGAGCCATGCCAAACTTCCACAGTGGGGTTCTTTTCCCAGAATATCACTGGATCAAAGGATGGGTCAGGCTGGAAGGGACCACAGTGGGTCACTGGTGTCACCTCCCTGCTCCAGCAGGGCCATCCCAGAGCACAGGGCACAGGAGTGTGTCCAGATGGAATATTCTGGAATATCCCCAGGGAGGAGACCCCAGCCCCTCTCTGGTCCCTGCCCAGGGCAGAAGTTGTGCCTCCTGTGCAGGGGGAATTGCTGGGCTCAGTCCCTGCCCGTGGCTCTGGGGCCATGGCTGGGCCCTGGAGCAGAGCCTGGGACTGCTCTGAGCCTGCCTGCACACAGGGACACACAGACAGGGACACACAGACAGGGACAGACAGGGACAGACAGGGACAGACAGGGACAGACAGGGACAAACAGACAGGGACACTCTGGGCCGAGGCCCCTCTCAGCTGGGGCTCCTCTCCAGGCTGAGCAGCCCCAGCTCCCTCAGCCTTTCCTGGGCACGGAGATGCTCCAGGCCCTTGCTCAGCTCCAGGAGCTCCTGTCCCTGCTGTGCTGAGGAGCCAGAGCTGGGCACAGCACCCAGAGGTGCCCCCAGGGCTGGGCACAGGGGCAGGATCACCCCTGACCTGCTGGGAATTCGCTTCCCAATGCCCCCCAGGACACCACTGGCCTCTTTGGCTTCTGCTGATCAGGGACAGATCATTGTCCACCAGGACCCCCAGGTCCCCCTAGAGCTTTTCCCCAGCAGGTCACCCCCAGCTTGTGCTGGTGCAGAATATTTTTGCATTATTTTTCATATTTCAGAGCTTCTGCTGGACAAAGATACTCAATTTAGTGTATATCATGACAGCCATCTGTGTGACAGAAGCACTCTGTCTAAGAGACAAACTGGCAGAATCTTCACCCATTATGTTAAGCAAGATGTGCAACATTCTCCTCAGCTTCCCAGACCTCCTTCATTACTCCCTCCTCTTGTATAAGGTTTGACAAACTGGTATATGAATGGAAAAAACTAAATACTGATTTTTTTTAATTTATTTTATTTTTACAGATAAACCACTCTGACCAGACAAAGAACAGATACAAAGGCTGGCCAGCTGAAATTCAAATAGAAGGCTGTATCCCAAGAAACCTGATCTGAACAAATGCATACCTCATTAATAAAGAAAATTTTATATTTTTATATCTATGAGTCTATTAAATTGCCTCCAGAACTCAATAAGCATCTGAACATCAATTGTAAAACAGGTCAAATACACCATTTTTAACCTATCTTTCCTCTCTGTGGTTTTATTCTAATCTGAAAACAAATAGGTGTTTTGATAAGAAGTGGAAACAAAATAGTCTGGTTTGGAATTGCAATGTTCAGGAAGTCAGTCATAAAATGCCAGAATTTTTGAAAGTGAGTATACATTGTCATTTATACTTTCAGGGCTTGGTTTTACTTGTTTCTTTTTAGTATGTCTTTTTTGTTGTTGTTGTTCCCTTTAAATACTAATATGCAAACAGAACCTAGTCTAAATTGTAATATAAAATCACTTGCAATACAGCCAATTACTTTGATGTCAGTTTATTAATAACATTTCTTCTGTTCAGAGAAAGTATGGCAAGAGCAGGCACATTTGTTGAGCTGATTTTAGTGATGTTGGCAACACAAAATAGCAATGCTAACGTGTAAAGATCCAGTTACTTGAATTTTGCCAAATTTAAGCTGCAAATCTACATCGTTCTTCCTGTAACTTCAACTTACTTTAAAAAATGTAGTGACTTCATGCCAATGTAAGTATTAACAACAGAATCAAGCACATGATTGAAAGGAAGCTGTAGAAACATTTATTCCATTTCCCTTTTTTGAAGCACAGCAAGTGTCTGGACTGGTCTTAAGTGGTGTTTGTCCCCCTGTGGTTCAGAAGTCTCCCATATAGCTGATTACATAACCTAAGTTGCTTCCTGCAGCATTCAACTGTTATTCTAATTATTCCCCAAACATATGGAATTGACCCAAAAGGACCAAGCAATTACATGGACAGTAACTCATCAGGATTCTTTTTATACGATTCCATTATGTGTCTGATGATTGTCCTCATCTACTCTCTCCTCCATAGACTGAACCCACCCATATTAGTCTTTCCTTACATTTTTTCTCCACATTAAAAGGTCAGTTCTGTGGTTCCTGCTTCAAGTCCCCTTTGAAACTTCAAATGAAGCTTGAAATCTTCAAATCTCCAACCGTGGCTGCCACTTGTAGTCACTGCTGTGTTCCCAGCAGCTTTCTGGTGGTGTGTCTCTCATCAGTCCCTAAAGTTTCCTGCTACTGGTTTGCAAACGGCTCCATAGCCCAGAGACACTGCCAAAAAAAACCACTTAAATTAGTCCAACTCAGTTGGATTTTGGCAGGCTCGATGGTTGCTCCTTAGCACCTTGCTGCTGATGAGGTGGATACAAACTGAGCGCTTCAATAGCTGCTTCAATGTTTTTCCACATTAAGTCATTCTTCTTGATAATTTTTTCGGGTGGTGCTTGTGTTGCTGGCAGGACATTTATTCCTTTGCATCATAATCACCCTTTGCTACATGCCTGAATTATAAAAATAACATAATTACAGTGCTAATGGCTGGCAGTCCTCAAGAGTGCCAAGCTCTGAGACAGCCCTCAAGCTCTGTGCAGTCTGACAGTCACTGCCTTTTGCTCCAGGCCACAATTAATCTCACATCAATTACAATTAAATTTTACTTTAATTTCTGTTTAGTAGTTACCATGAAGTACAACATTCTCATGCTTTATATTTGCTCTGTTCTTTACACTCTGTGCAAGTGTTCCACTCCTTGCAACAATAAGAGCTGTGCCTCTGTCATCTGAATCGAAGATCAAACCACAGTGAGAACCTTTCGAAGCACAATTTCCTGTGAAATGGTCTTTAACTCCATGGTGTTTTCACTTTTACAGAGATGAAGCTGGGTCACCTGGACTGGACTGAAGTATGTTGATAGTCTGCAGTGCTGACATCATCAGCTTTGTTTTCATTTGTTCTTGACACAGTACTTAAATACGGCAAACAGATGACTCTAATACTTTGATAACCCACTGATCAGATGAAATTTTTCTATCACTTTTCAGATTAGAAGCAATCTTGCAGAGTTGGTTTGAAAGGGAGATTTTGACTTTGCACCCACAATTTGAACACTTTTAAAGGAACTGCCTCCTAGGAAGAAGTGAAAAGCTTTTTCATGGAATCTTAATTCTAAAAAATTAATCCGGGGGGGAAACAACAGCTGCAGTGGTGGAGGTCGATGTTTTCTATGCCAGGTGACATTGCCAACCAAAAGGAGTAGGTAGAAAATTATTTTCTGCATTCTCCCGAGCTGAGAAAGTGCTGGGAAATACCTCTGGGTGCTTATTACACACGTGGGGTCACCACCATACAGTAAGGTTAAAGCCTGCACAGCAGTCCATCATTTTCTAATCCCAGTAGGCAAATCCTATGGGGAGCCATGAGCTTTAGGCTGTGGCATTACTCAGGGCGTGGGTTTGTGGATTTAAAAGTGGGATGGCACAGCAGGTGGCAGCAGTGGCTTTCCAGATCCTCTGCATCTCTAGAAATACCCAACCTTCCAGTGCTTACCTGTCCTGGGCAGACACTGGAAGCCACAGACATGGGTGGAGATCACCTTGGGTGGACACCAGCAGCTTTGTCCCTATCATGCCAGACCTTCCTTTCCTATACTTTGCCAGGGTAGGCTCCAATTTCAAATAACCTCAGCAGAGCCTTCCACACAAAGAGGTTCCTTGTATCCCCATCTAGAAACACTTTTTAGATGCTCCCATTTTTACCTCCTATGTTCGTGTGACAACCAGTTCCTTAAAAAACAAAGTACCTGGACAGAGTTCCTTATTTATTTCTCTATTTAAGAGCATGAGAAGTACTTCAGGGTCCTGACATGTTTCTTAAAAATCCCTGGATGCCTGGCAGTCCAATTTGATAGCAGCCACTGGAAATATTGATCAAATAATAGGTAACATTTTCAGTTTCTCAGCTTCAACTGTTTCTTCATGTTCTTTGTATACTGTTATCTAACTCAAAGTGACAAGTTTCCACTATATTTAAAAGAAAAATACAAGACAGGAAAAGAAAGGCGAAAGATGCTCTTTTTGAGGCAGGCTGTGCTTAAAGGAAAATACTGACCAAGAGCAATCCACCCAGACAAGCAAAGAGAAACTGATGCTTTTACTTAAACATAATGCCTGGAGGGAAGTAATATATGAGTATGATTTATGTGATCTCTTCTTAGCTGCAGTGAGATGCTGAACCTTGACTAGAATTCAGGGGATTGAGGGTGGTTTAATAACATTTGAGTGACAGCAGTTCCTCATTTCTGGGGACTCAGAAATTTCGATTTCAGTTCTCTGCTCTGTTTTTTGGGGGGTTCGGTTGGCTTGGGGGGGGGTGTTGTTTTTTGGTTGGTTGGTTTTATTTGCTTTCTTGTTTTGGTTTGGTTTTGGTTTTCTTTCTGGGAGAGGTTTTCAGCAGCATGGGAAATGCAACTTTTCCTCCAAAACACAGGCTTTGCACTAGCAGCTCCTTCCAAAATCTATCCAAGGAATAGACCCTTTGGCCTGTCCTGGTCTCCACTGCAGGTTTCTTAAAAAAAAAAAAAAAAAAAAGCTATGTTTTAGCTAAATGCAATACACATTTCAACCTTGTTCTTCTCAGATAAATCCTATGTGGTTGTGCTTTTATCTCCTAGGAATTCCTATCTGCTGGGAACTCCCTTGCAGTGTTTTGTGGGAGGATGCTCTTGGCCAGCCAACAAGGATAATGACCCCGACAAATGGTTCTGAAAAGAATCAAGGGACACCTCCAAATCAGCCGCCCTTGTCCTTGTGGGGGAATTCAGCTTGCCGGGCGTGCGCTGGGAACGCCACACAGCTGGTCCAAAGAGCCCCAGCAGGTTCCCCAAACAGCTGGACAACAGCTCCTCGGTCCAGGGACTCCTGGAGCCGGCTCGGAGAGGAGCCCTCCGGGATTTGTTGCTCGTTCCCAGAGAGGCTCTCGGGGCTGACGTGGGATTGTCTTGGGCGCAGCGACGGCGCAGCCGCCGAGTTTCAGATCTCTGCTGCTTTGCCTGCGCCCGTCTGGCTCCGAGATGGGCCAGGCACAGGTGAGCACGGCTGGAAAAGCAGCAGCTTTAAGCAGTGTGACTATGGCAGTGGTTTTGATGTCTTCTAGGATGGGTAGTGGAAGATCCTGGGCTTGATCCTCAGGTTGGTTATGGTCATTTTCTCCACATAAAATTTCCATTGTTAATTTGGCACCTCTGTCCTCGGTTTTCTGGGTGGCAAGCACAGTTTTCAACTGTTTCCTCCATAGGGAGTCCCACAAGAGGAGCTCCGTGGAGGACAGCAGGAGCAATATAATATGTCTGATATCATGAGAGATGAGGACATGGCCAGAGAGATTCACATTAAGTGTATTTTTGAAGTAAGGCGACTTCTGCCCATAGTCCTTTGCTGCTTTGCAAAGTTCCTTAGGTTCATTATAAGGAACCTGTTCCCATTTAGGGTTCTTTCCCCTTTTACAGATGTGCTGTAGTTTCTCAGCCATTTTGGGGTTGCCATCCCTGACAGCCTGTCTTTGGACCCGTGCCCAGCCCTCTCCAGGCCTGGTTTTAGGGAGAGAGGGAGCAGGAATGGGGAAGAAGGTAACAACTGAGTTGAACGGGGTCCCCAAATTCCCTTCATTCCTTTCATCAACTTGTAGATCAAATTAAAAAGAGAGTAAAATTTCCTGATCTTAAAATCCCCTTTCATTTGTTCCACATGTAAATGTTTCCCTACTTTATCCCAGAACTCAACAGAAAAAAACCTCCTCTCAGGTAATGCCTGGGAAGTGTTTAAATAAAAAATGACTGAAGGCCTTTAATTCCCCCTTAGAAAATTTAACGTCTCCATTAACAAGGGTCCCCTTAACTTGGAAATAAACCTCCCATTCCAAAACAGACAACTTAGATTCCCTTTTGGTTTATTTTAATTTCCCACCCACAAGATAAACAAAAACAGAAATTGAAAGTGACTTGCAGTGGCACCCTCCCCCGGTGCCCTTCACAACACTCAGCAAAACCCAACAAGTCAAAAGAAGGGATCTCGTAGGGGATCTGTCAACACCAGCTGATCCTCTGCAGCAAACACTCGACAAACTACACCTATGAGGGCTGCCAGCCAGCCCTTCAGGAATTACTTCCTAAAACCAAAGGTCTTCCTTCTGGGAGCTGGAG